CTTAATGAAAAGCAAAAAGACGGGCATTAACGACTGATTTTGTCACCCAGTTGTTGGCTTGACTGTGATATTATCCATGAAGTATATGTTTGTCTCAGAAACATTAATCCAGATTTGGAGGGCTTACAGAGACCAACTTTGGGCCCTGTCAGGAACTTCAATCAGGTTAATGGCGAATTTATTCAGATTTTATATACTCCTGGTAATGCCCACTGGGTATGTGTAGGTTCAGTAGGGTGTGAAGATGGCACTGTCAACTTATATGACAGTCGGTATCATAACATTATTGTCAATGAAGTACAACAGCAGGTACTCATTCTTAATGGACGTTCAAATTTTACTGGCATTCAAGTTTTCCCTGTCCAAAAACAGCCAAATGGCAGTGACCATGGAGTATTTGCTGTGGCCTTTGCTACATATCTTGCTGATGATATACACCCTGAAACATTGCAATTGATGTCACAAAAATGAGAACCCATTTATATCAGTCTTTAAACCCATCGCCAATAGATGGGTGTGAAGAAGTTGCCTGATTAAACTGGAAGAGGCACAAGCAAGAGTGAAGGTAACAACGACAACCCTGTGAGCGGCACCCACCAGGCACCGGCACACTGAGAACCTCAATGGAACATTTTTTGCATACTTACTAAGAACCAGAGGGAGGGAAGGGCTGGGAGCAAAAAGGCTTCTACACAAGCCCAAGCAAAGGCAACGCGTGTGAAATGACGTGACCTTTAAAAGAGCACTGTAAAAATACTGGGGCCCTGAAAAAGCCCTAAGCCCGCCCCACATACGATTAGCAACAGAGACCGCTGGCCAGCATTGTCTCGTGTTTAACCTCGCCTAAATAAAAATGTGGTGTATTGAAAATGTTTCTTACATTTTAGACTGCGTAAGGTACATCCTCAGGTAAAACATTTTTCAAGAAAAGGAATTAATACTTTATTAAAGAGAAAATAATATGGTTGCCCAATGGACCTGTATATTGGAAAGGAATAGTCATTTCAAATAGTAAGTCTGAAATAAATTTAACACAATAACTAACGTGACAACTTCATTGATCACTTAATTCTTGATTGGCAAACATCAGACATGTGCAGTAACAAAATATTCACACAAGTGATAAGAAACCTCATATTTATCTCTACCGATGGTCCCGTTGATACTTAGGCTAAGCTCATTTGTGTTACCCTCGTCCCTATCAGTCAGAAAGGGCATATATGTCTTGTAGAACTCACTCGGCTTGCACTTAAGCTTAGTGGCTTGCTCTTTCCAATATGTCCTTTTTGCCTTTCTCCGGCAACATTTTGTCGTACTTCTCCAGTACTCTGACAAATTTATGCATGACATTGCTGAATTTTGTATTGTTTTGCGTCATTCTACATTGCTATGCTTTTGTGAAGTATTATTGTGTGAAGCCAATACAAATAAGAACTGAATACAATGCCAGACATAACTTTTTTGGAGTATTAAACATGAATTCTGTCTAACTAATGTTCGCAAAGATATAAATGTCTTACAAAAGCTGATGAACTTACTCAAAAGGAACAACAGATGGCGAAAGATTTGTAACGGCTGCACAAACCCTGATCATTCTGTCAATAAGTGGAATTTTTCCAGTCTTCTCTGAGGATGTCAAATAATCTATCGGTAGTGTTCCCTGTATGATAGAATACTTTTGACTCAGGAGTCCAATGACTCGCTCGAAAATGTTTGTGCTCTTGCTAGAAGATTTGAATGTCGCGCTCTTGAATGTTAGCCAATAATAATGGTGTTTTTTCCAAATAAGAACTGAAAACAAAGTTGCATTGTGTGCCAGAGTTCATCTCGATCAGGCCATCTGATGATAGGAGAAAGCCTGATATCCATCACAGTTAACCCGGTAGAGAAGGTTCTTGAAACAGTACTAAGAGAAGCCCCACACATATAGGCAAGCTAATCTGGTAAAGGAACATTCAATCTTAATTTAATTAATACCATAATAAGTTCTTGAAACAAAGACAAGCTTTTATTCCTTCGAGTGACGAACGGACTGATGAAAGAAAAAGGTTGCTTTGAGCACATCACAACCCGCCAAACCACTGCAAAACCCCACTCTGTCATCATGAGTAGCAAAATATTCCTCAGTAAAAGGTTGCAGGACAGCTTGCTTAAATAAATATTAAAATTCAGTCGTTTGCGTTTCAGCATTTTGGGTTACTATATTTGTACCCTTGATTCTGGCGCTTGAGTTTCAGCATTCATTGTTTTCTGGTCATTGTACTATCGACCGAGTGAACAAGAAAACAACACCATGCTTGTTTGTCACGAATAACTCCGTACTTTTACTGACAGATAACGTGACGTGATGAACTCGTGATTAACAACATTACATCTCTCCTCTTCTTGGGTACCTAAAAATAACTCACATCAAAAGTCTTTGCAAATCTGTTTCCGACTAATGAACATTCTCAATTCGTAAAAATAACGACAGTGTTCGCCTGAAAATCGTGTCCGAAAGATCAGTCCTTCAAATGTCACTTGTGAATAAGAAAACAAAACATGAACAATTCAAAACTTCTGAACGGAAGTCTAATTGACAGAAATCAAATGTACATAATCCTTAAATCTAACAGGGGGTTTAATCTGCCTTTGCGATTATCTCAAGGGGATGTCTTCCTTTCCGACAGATGTGGGATTCTCTACACCATCGTTCTTTCCACTGTGGTCTTGCAGTAGCTGTTTAGGGACAACTTTAAAGTGTGACGAATTTCTTGTGAAAGTGTCTGATCCATTGCTTGCTGTGATCATTGAACCTTTCTTCTCCTTTACAACAAAAGGCTTGGGATTGTATGGTGTGCTAAGTTTGTTCTGTTTATAATGTTGGATGAGTAGAACCTCTCCCGGTGTGATCGTTCTCTCTTAAGCATTCCCCTTTTGATCAGCATAGATCTTCATCTTCTGTTTTTGCAAAGCATCTCTCTGTGCGAGGTTAGCTGATGGATCTTGAAACATGGACTGTTACTGCTTGTAGCAGGTGGTTGGTGTTTCAGGTAGCCAAGTCTTGAGTTTTCTGCTGTTCAAAGCTTTACAAGGAGAAACATGTGTTGTGGTATGAGGAGTTTCCCAGTTCTGCTTCCAATTCTTGCCTGCTATGTGGGCAATCCTGAGGTTTTTCTCAAGAGTTTGAACTAGACGTTTGGCTTCACCATTTGCTTTTGGCTAGAGTGGGGTGATTTTTCTGTGCCTAAATCCTACATAGTCAGCAAAGGTTTTGCACTCATGCCCATTGAAGGGGGGTCCATTGTCACTCTTCAAAATATCTGGTACGCCTTGTCTTGAAAATATAGCGTCCAGTTTTGGAACCACAGCTTTGGAAAATGTTAAAGTGAGTAGTTCTACCTCAGGAAAACGGCTGAATTCATCCACAACCACCACTATGTAATCTCTACTTGAGAATGGTCCTGCGAAATCAACTGCAACTTCTTTCCAAGGTGCAGTGGGAAGTGTGATCATTAGAAGAGGTTTTGTTGGTGGTGATTTCGCTGTCGCTGCTTGGCACGAGAGACAGTTTTTACTTTGTCTTCTGTCACCTTGTCTATTCCTGGGAGCCACACTATGTCTCTGATAAGTTGCTTGGTCTTAACAATCCCTTGGTGACCTAAATGTGCAATTCTACTGGTCTGCTTCTGAGGGTGACTGGTATGAAAATCCTGTTCATTCTCAACACTACTCCATTGTATACTGAGAATTCATCTTTCAATCTTTTATAATCCTGAACTTCAGGGCTTGTCCACCGATCAGTTTCTATTGCTTTAATAAGAGCCTGCATCTCCGCATCTACTTGGGTAGTTTGCTTGCCTGTTGTTCCTGCTCCCACTTCCAGGGCTTGTCTTGTCGCGTGAAAAGGCGCAATGGGGCTGTGATTGTGGCATAATTGGGAATGAAACGGGATACGTACTGTGTCATGCCTTGGACGGACTTGATATCACTGGCGTTCTGCGGTGAGCTTGCATTGCGTATCGCTTCAACTTTCTTAGGGTCGGGCTTGACACCACTGGAACTAAAAATATGGCCATGGAACCTGATTTCACTCTTAGAGAACTCGCATTTGCCCTCGTTGAGGCGACGGTTGTTGTCTTTTAGTCGCTGGAGAACACCACGAAGGTTCTTTTCATGCTCATCTTTCCCTTTCCAAACACTATGATGTCATCTGAAATGTTCTTACATCCGGGTAGGCCTGTAAGGAGTTCTTTGATCGATTCTTGGAAGATTTCAGATGCTGCATATATTCCAAATGGTAAGCACTTATAGCGTTTCAGTCCAACATGGGTACTGAGCGTTGTGACAAAACGGCTTTCTGGTGCTAGTTCGAGTTGGTGGTATCCTGAAGAAAGATCCCGCTTGCTTAAATGAGTTGCACCATGTAAATCAGCTATGAGGTCATCTATAGTTGGCATGAGGTGTTTTTCTCTCTTGACTGCTTTATTCGCCTCCCCCATGTCAACACAGATCCGCACTTCTCCGGATTTCCTGGGTCCTACAACAATGGGGCTAATCCAGGGTGTGGGGCCCTCAACTCTTTCGATGACATCCAATCTCTCTAACCTTTCAAGCTCCTTTTCAACGTCTCCACGCACATGAAAGGGAATGCTGCTGTGTGGCTGCTGTCTGGGTGTGATGTCAGGGTCAACATGTAACTTAACTATTTTGTTTCGTAGTCTTTCTATGCCTCCAAATAAACATTCAAATTCCTCTTGTAGAGACTCTGGGCTGTCCTTGTTCACATCTGTGACAGTGGTAGTGTTAACAGATATTGTAATCAATCTAAGCTTCTGTGCAGTGTTGCAGCTGAGGAGGTTTCCCATGTTTCCCTTCATAACATGTAACTGGGTGGTAGTACTATTACTACTGGACTTGATAGTTGTTGAAAGTATTCCCAGCAGTGGCAGGGGAGTATCAAATCCATAAGAGTGAATCTTGCTGTGAGCATGCTCTAGGAGTTTGTTACCACAATCAATTCAATGAAAAGTCGCTTCATCTAAAGGGTTAACAGATGCACCTGTGCCGATCATCATCTCTACAGTTTTTCCATTTACTTGTACCTGGCACATCGGTGGCTTCTTGCTTTCGATGTAATTAATTGTGTACGCGAACTCGTATTCGTCTTCAGATGAATAGTCAGTTCCTAAAGAAGCGACTTTTCCATCTTCCGCAGAAGGGTTTGTTCTGCAAACATGAGCAAAATGTCCAATTTTACCGCAGGCGTTACAAGATTTTCCTCGGGCTGGACATGGATTCCTTTGAGTAGCATATCCCCCGCAATTAACACATTTTCCGGGCTTGCTGTTTCGCTTGTTTTAGTTTTGACGATTGCGTGACTGAGATCTTCTGAAACGTGGCTGCGAGGAGTGTTCGTTTCGCTTACGTGAGCGACCAGGTCGCTCGCTTCCTTTGGTTTCTGTTGCGTTAACGTCCGCTACCGCTTTTTCTTCTTGGCGTGCTTGCTCTTCACTAAGTTCCAAGGCTCTTCCCAGTTTTAAAATGGCATCAAGTGTAAGATTTTCACGTAGTGATCGGCGTCCTAGTGAATTAGAACTGCAGGTTAAGATAAGAGGCTCTTTTATCTCTTTGTTAATGTTACTGAACTCACAGGTTTTGGCTAGTTGACGAAGTCCTGCGTTATAGCTATTCAACGATTCGCTGTCTTTTTGCTTGGTTTGACGAAATTTGAATACTTCATAAGCTATATTCGTCTGTGTCGAGAAGTATTCATTCAGCTTTTCGACCGCCGTGGCATAATCACTGTTGTCGCCAGTATTTGGCAGGGTATCAAATATCTCGTCAACCTCTGGACCTGCATAATGAGGTAATAACGCTCTTTTCCGTATAGGAACTGATCTTTTAATGTTAAAACATTCGCTCTAATTGTGCAAGCCATTTTTGCCATCGTGACCCCTCATTGCCGTCTGCATGAACATCGAAGGATGGGAAAGTTGGAAGTGAAACCACCATGTGGTTGGAGCGTGTCGCTGACTGTATCAGTGTGTGAAATATTCTGTGAAAACGCTGGCAGCTTTCCGCTAGGAGCTTCTATTGCATTAGAATGGCTCGATCCTCGTTGGCATAGCTTGCTCGCTGGCTAAATCCTCGTCGCCAGATGTACTATCTACCGAGTGAACAAGAAAACAACGCCATGCTTGTTTGTTAAGAATAACTCCGTACTTTTACTGACAGATCACGTGACGTGATAAACTCGTGATTAACAACACTACAGTCATGACTGTCGTATAATTCCTCCTTGTTTTTTTGGATCTTTGTCATCAACATCCAAAGCCTCTCGGCCTCGGGCTCTGCTCGTAGAATATCTCATCAGCTGTTTCCCCGGTAACATCCAATCGTCTCACTTTCTCTTCTACCTCCTTTTCTGCGGTCTCTGCTCGACTTTTGCGTCTTTTGGCAGCTCTCCGAGCTCGAGCAGCTGCCTCTTCAGGATCCTTTACATGCTGTTTTGAATTCCCAGGGTGGAGGGTAGGGACCCAGTTTACGTTGAATCGATCCCAATCTTTCGCAGCTTCTGCTGAAACGAAATGCCGGCTGCAAACCCGATCTCCTTATAAAATATTATCAGTCATCTCTACTTATCGCAGAGATCCACATTCTTCCTTGCTCAGAATTGTCACAGCTCTTCGGTGTACTGTCCTTGATTGAGTATAACACATGGATTGGACACGAAAAAACCTTACTTTTTCGACGTTAGACCGCTTCTTCCCTGTTAAGCAGGCCAGCTAACGAAAAGGCAGAAAACCGTGCTGAAAACTATATAAATATTATTCTAGCGTCTTCTCAAAAGTGTAAAATCTGCTCTAAATATTGCTGCCACGCTACTCAATGTTGTTTACGATGGCACACCAATTTGGCGGATGAAGTCGGTTATCATGACGATATTGAATTTTGGTCACGTAAGTGCATGCGCCCCATTCGGGATATCCAGCGGCACGCGAAAGAAGGTCAAAGAAGACGAGGGAGCGAGTGGCTGGAAAAGAGCTCTCCTTTCCTTCGTTTCCCGCTCGTGCGTTTTTTCGGACTCTTTTCGTGGCTTGCTTGGTTCGCTTCACGAATCGAAAGGGAGAGCTTGCTAGCAGGTTATAACATTTCTTAGTGATTCACCCGTTAATTCGACATTGGGTGAGTAAGTTTATGTGGCAATTCCATGAAAAAGTTCCAGTCGATACTTCCGGCTTCGCAGCAACTTTTTCTGATTTGATATTCATTCCACTATAGATATACCCCAGAGCTCAAATTATGAGCGTCGGCGGTCTTGAAATATAAGGATTTTGCCGGGGAAGCAACGATTATTTCTGTAACGTAGGTACATAACGAGATTTGAATAAAAAACTGCTTCTGTTACTTCAGTTATGTTTCTTCTTTCTTGTGTGGTCCCCGAACCATTTTACACAGGGTCCAGAGGAGATGTGTTTGTCGTTAGAACATCAAAAGCCGTCGAAAACTTATTTTGATCGCGTTACAATTTCGTTACACATTCCATACACCGCTAACCAAGAGACTGAGGGCTCGCAAGATCGGCTTACAGTATAAAACACTTTATTAATAGGCCTACTTGATCTCTGGTCTCTCCCTGATCTTTCAGAGCCTCTTTGTCAGCATATGATCTCTCGGAAGCTTTAAGTGCGTTGTTCTAGATATCCAGCAAATAATGACGTCAGTTTCGGTACAAATAAATACTAATAAATAAAGGAAAAGTGATGTCAAAATATGTGCTTTCATAAGCACTGAGTAACATAAATAAGAACAATTTTTCATGTAGTGTCTCAATAACAAAACACCGATAACAAGGACTTATCGGGGATGAAATTCGCATCTTCGTAAATGTGGGTCAGTGATAGCCACAGTACATAATCTGACTGAGTAAAGAAGTGTCACGTCACAAAAACTCAAATTTATGAAAACATGGGATTGGTTAGCATATCCAGAAAGAAAAAGAACAAAAAAGACCCTTGCCAAAAATCAGCCTGCTAGTGCTAATTGGTGGGAAAATATAGCACCGTCTTGCTCTGATAACTCCATACGAATCTTTCTAAAATTGGCCTGGTTCGTAACGTTTATGATCCAGGCCTATTTTAGAAGGGTTCATTTGGAGTCATGGGAGCATAAAGGTGCTTATACCTTGCCACCTATTTGCACTAAAGGGCTGATTTCCAGCAATCGAACGGTTTCACCTTGTTCTTTCAGGAGACGGTACGCTAACCAACCCCATAATTTCACAAATATAGTTTTTGTGGCGTCATCATTTCCCGTCTCTATTGGGGGTTTTCACTGTCACGCCATTAGAAATAAAAATCAAAATCGTTCAATAGATGAAGTCCAGAATCTGGGAAATGAGAGGAGGTAAACATGCAAAGACTCTCGCCAAGACGCAGGCCAGTGCAATTTTTCATATGTGACATATTGGGAAGAATGATTTATCCAAACTTATACAGCTTTGTATGAAGACTCCATGTTGTTGCCATCTGGATGGGCACCAACATGGTGGCCGGAAACCAACAGACACATCTGGCCCTGGGTTTTGCTACGAAAACGTGAATTCATCTCTCGAGGAAATCGTAAATATTGAAGAAATTCTTCTCCCAGCACAATAACTGTTCAGATAGCAAAATCTCCCCAAAATAGGTCACTTTTTCAATCTACATGACCTCTCTTTTTCCGCCATGTAAATGGTGCGTCACGCAAAAGCTTAGAAATTCAAGCGCACTAGACAACAAAACGGCAAGAATCTTTTTGAAGTGAAAATTTGTATAGATATTAATTTGATTTTAAGCTGCTCTAATGAACTAAAAACTGGGAAGGATTGATGACTTCTTAAGTTTGAATTTTGAAGACGTCATTTGAAAGCACGCATTAGGGCTGGCAGTTGTATAGTTATAAAAAATTGGGGGGGTACCCTTTCAGTACGCGAAAACACGTTAAGATGAGTTTTCTTCTTTTTTTACCTTTTTTCTTCCACGGCGTAGCCATGTCAACAGGTCACCATACGGAACGTATTCTATGACCAGAAAACTTTTGTCCTCAAGCGTACAGCATCCAACCATGGATACGACGTTCTTATGTGAGCCCAACAGTTTCATCTGTTCAATTTCAAACGTGAACTCTTCTTTCTGTGCCTCAGATGGATCATCTAACGACAAATGAATAAAATGATGCTGGTTTCTTTTTGGATAATTTTTATTTATTATTATAATTATTATTATTATTTACTTTTTTTTTGCTGTGTCAATATTATCAATTCAGTGCGAAATTTTTCATTTGCATGAAATATGCGTCCTTTTTAATCACATCCCACGCATCCTCCGATGCACAATTGGACCGATGGATTTTAGTTTGTGATAAAATGTCGAAAAAATATTGTTACATTTCACTTTACTAGTTACTTTACTAGTGTACCTTTCCAGCAGCCTCGATCGAAGGTGAGGGCTGGAAGATTCAAGGTGGGTGTGGCGCGCTCCCTGATACCATTTCTTTAGTTTACCCTATCTCAGTCATTAACCGCTGTTCGCAAGAGAAAAATAATGAGCTTAACACATGATTTCGAGTGCAATTTGTGGTCTTTGAAAATTTTACGAGTGCTGATTTATCCCAAATTGCACGAGAAAAACCATGTGATTACTTGTTAATAATATACATGCAAAAATTTGACTTGCTTTTCCTCTTTTACGTCTCACCGCTTGTCAAAAGTCTCTCCTTTCCCTCCTACAATTAACAACGTCAACCAAGATTGGTCTAAATTTTGAGAGGTGGATATTGATGGCTAAAATCACAGAAGCTAAGCTAGAAATTTGTTTACCGAGAACTCAAGCCCTTTGTCATTTTAAGTTTTTAACTTTTCATGTTTTTCCACTGCCGACACGGAAAGAAATACAACTGCTAACAAGATTCCTTTGCATTGTTGTGCTTTGTTTATTGGGGTTTTGATTGAGGAAAGTGTCGCAACAGTGGTGGTTCATGCAGGCTTTTACAGAACAGTAACGGTGAGTTTGAGTTATTGCATTTTTTTTCTCGTTTAACGGCGGCCATACTTATTTTAAGTTTCTTACAGTGACTTGTAAGATAAATTTGAGACGATGTATGGCCTTGTGTTAAAAAAACACAAGCTTTTTTTAAAACAGTTTACGACTGTAAATGAAACACTTTAATGAAACTACTCCTCCAATCAGGCTTAATAAAATTAGAAAAGTGCTTTTGTTTCAAGACATTTTTCATGTTTTGGTCGTCAGTCAATAATTTTGCATTTTAGTATTTCAGGCTATTGTTTCGCGTGGTTTCTTGGATTGATAGTATGCCGCGAGAATGAAGCTGGACTCAGAATTGCTTTATGTTTACATGATTTGCGATTTAAGCTTACGTCTTTCCGCATAGTCTTCACCGTCACCAAAATAATGATAATAATAATAATAATAACATAAAGAAATTGTCGATTATTCTACTGACAGACGGCCTTAACTGAACACACCTGAGCCTGACAATCAATCTAATTTCAACTTTTTGCACTCAAAAAATTTTAACTTTCTGCATTTTTTGGGATAAATTGACGTGCTCTCAGCCAATGAGCGCGCTGAAAGTTTTGCATTAATATCATAGGTGACGAATTACTCCTTAATTTTGGCCCAAAATTTCAGCGTTAATTTGTAATTTCACGTGTAAAATTACAAAATTGCCATGGCAACCCTTCCGTACGTCTCAGTGTCAAGATGGCGACGAAGTTTTAAAATGCCGTGAATGAAGATGTCAGGGCACAAAAAGACTCTTTAGAAAACCTGAACACACAAGAGAACATCAGGAAGGATTCTAATAGGTATTTTGCCGAAAAAGTCTGAAAAATTCTGAACTTTGTAAGCCAAATTTAAGGTCTAAACATTTGAGAGAGTGGAGTTCTCGATCGATACGATTCAGGATAAACGTGTCAAAAATCCAAGTTTGCTAACGTAATTCGTCAACCATGATATTAATAGGTAATCAAATGGGGTACTCGTGAACTTAGGGAATAATTTCACTTGCGTTTTGTCCAAATCCTTATAATTTCCCTCGCCTAAAGGCTCGGCAAATTATAAGGATTTGGACAAAACGCAAGTGAAATTATTTCTTAATTTTACTCGTCATCATTTCATTACACATGCGTGTATTATTACAAAGATAATGGTCTAGTTTTGTTACTTAAGGCTTTTTTTAGGCATTGAAGTGGTTTTTGTCGTCTGTTGCCACGGATGGACATAGATTGAACTTGAAAAAGCTGGACCAACTTTTCCAAGTTTAAAAGCTGTGCCGGAAAAAAATACCAAAAAATTATTATGATTATTGCTCCTTGATGAAATTTGTGTCATATCTTCTCCATGATCCGCTTCATGACTTTTCACTGAAGAGCACTTTGTGTAGTGATATAGGCACAGTAATGACTTCAACACAGAATTGGTAAGCAACACCGACCACGGCAGCGGAAGCGTCTCTTAAAAAGCAAATTTTCGCCTTTTAAAATTTAATCGCTTTTATTCCATGTCGTTCATTTGTCAAATGTTGGTGAGTTTCACTACAGTTGGATGTTAAAGGACTGTATCTAAGTTGAAAAAAAGAAAAAGAAAATGTACAGAAAGCGTGATGCAAGTGCAAAGTTGTTGTTTTGCTTATATAAAGGATAATTTTCTTTGTTAGCGTTGCCGTCGGCCTCCGCGTTGCTTTAGGAAAATAAAACGAGAACAACGACACCAGCGGTTTCTCTAGACTTGATACTATTCAGAACAAAGGCGTCAGAGACTTGATACTTTGATAGCCTAAGATTTGAATTCCACCTCCATTTCCCCTTTGGCTCCTGGTCGACTGAGCTGCCAAATTTCCGCCAATCAACGCGAATGTAAACAAACATTGAAAAACACGTGCCAAGAGTAATGACGTCATAACTAATGTCATCTCCGCCAATAAGCAATCCGCATCGACTTTTTTGATGTAGATATTCATTATAAATTCTAGAGACGTAGTTGCAAGCTCTCCTTCCTTTTCCCGCCCGGCCGCCTGAGCTCCCCGGAGAGCTTGCTCCCTGGCTAATCCTTTGACGGCCGCTCATACATACGTACATACATAGCTTACATAGGAGAGTACCATCGAAGTCTGGCAGTCAGAATGATTATTCTCATAGTGCTGTCAGTTTCATCGTTAAAGGTAGGGGGGAGGACAAAATCTTTTGACGCATGGGAGTTTTTATCGATATTAGAGTATCCACAAGGGCTTGCATCATCTAATTCTTAAAATTTCAGGGCCTTTTAGTCCTTTACATTGGTTTTTGTTGACATATTTGCCGAGTTTTGGGGACTTAGGTCCAAAAGGGTAGATAAGAAGAAAGAAATCATTTCTGTTGCATAGAGAGAACTGAAAATAAGTTGCAAAATCAAAGGCTTTTTCTTTATGAAGACTACAGTATTTTTTACCATGTAAGACTTTGACAGCCACAACCTGTGGTGCTTTCTTTGTGGATAATAAAGGCCGTTTTGAAGTCTCAGTGTCCAAGACCTGCATCTCGACACGCTGTCTAAAGGTTGCTTTGTAAACAACACCAAACGCTCCTCTCCCTAGCTCTCCCTCGAATTCTATTTGCTCAGGCAGAATTTCCCACTTATCAGAAAGTTGTGAATCAGGTGAACTGGAGAAAAATAACATAGTAAAAGCTGGATTAATGTCCAAGAATCGTATAGATTGTCATAAATCAAAATGCAGTAGTAAGTAGTCGTAATGATAGTTTGGTTGTTATCAGTTCAAGCACCATATTTTCAACCTGAAACATATACCCGGCTTGTACACGGTAGTTTGCGCAGAAGTAGAGGTATATAGAAACCGAGGAACAAAGTCTTGAACAGAAGCTTCGGAAATGTCTTTTCGTGCGCGTTTATGTCGATGTACAACGAATTTCCACGCGAATAAAATTTGAAGGTAGGTAATAGTTAAAGCGAAATTGGCACTTTGAGACCCCGTTTATTGGGGTCCGGATAAATTTTTAAGCAAAAAAACTTGCACAGATCTGCATTTTGTAATACAGGTAAACAGTACTGCCATCTTTCACAGAATTTGCACGGGTTCCGCGTAAACGGGTTGCGCAGGTAAAAAATCTTCCGTTCAAAAATTCGTCAGGACCCGTGTAAACGGGTCTAACAGAAATTGTTCATTTTGGTACTCAGGTAATTTCATTGATGAATAAAGCTTCACTGAGCCTTCTCGTCCGACTAACCCAGCCCCTGTCCTTTTGCGTACTGCTTAACACATTTGCCCCACTAGACCAGCGTTCAGTGAGGAAATTTCACTGGCACCAAAAATTTGCCGATCATACCCGATCAGAGGTTTATCGCCGCTTCTCGAAACACAAAAGAATGTATGAAACATAGGGCGCGGCCTTTGTCTTCCAAAAACGCAACCTCAATGGGCATACTTTGATATGTTGATATCAGAGATAAATCCTTGTTCCTAGATAGGCTCAAAAGCGTTTGTTTGTCAAAGCGAACATTTGGCCGAGAGGACTAGCTTGGGAGAAAACTGTGAAATTTTTAAAAGGCAGCTATACGGACTTTACTCCTCACCCTTCCGTTTTCCGTTACTTGACCCAGACTACTACAAGTTGAGTTTCTTTAAGTTCTTGTTCAGCCTTCTTGGGTGTTTGAGTCTCGGTTACGATCTCCCGATGTCGAACGCAAAATTTCTTTGTCAATCAATTCAGTTATATAAATTTTCAAGATATTAATCTTCCACATCTATCCTTTGCATTGTCTTTTAAGGTTTACAGCCCCTTGGCTAAAACAAATGTTTGATTACTTTCAATAGAAATTGCAACCTAAGTGATGATCTTGATGACCTCTTGGTAACTGTCGTCCAGGCAGGTACGCGACGTTGTATAAGTGGCCACTTGATGTAATTTAGCCAATAACATCTCGCTGAAATTACATGCTACTAAATGTAATATTTTGGTTATGTGTTTTTGATACACCTTCATCTAAAGATAAAACTACCCTGAACACGGTGGTTAGCAAAGCTACATAAGCCTTTTACTATTCCTTAATTTCGTTCTTCTGTAGCACCAGGCGAAAACAGGGATTGAAAACAGCAAAATAGCTGAGGTGGCACCCAGTGAGATGTAAATGACTTTCCGATTTCCGGGTTCAGCTGATATCGTAGTGTTCATAACTGCAACGGAAAGTATTGAAATTGCATTATAAATGATGTTGGAAACGCGACTATGCGCTGAAAAAACAACAACAACAGAACAACAAGAAAAAAACAAAAGCAAAGACAGGCGCATTTACTAAATTTTACATAAAATATATATATTTAAATCTATCTCGCTTCTAAGCATATGGCTTCTCCTTCTTCACGAATCTTCAAATAGTAAGCCAACTTCTCCCTGTTTCTGAGTTCAACGTTGCACGGCGTGCCTGGCTAAATTAACAATTTTTAGCTTTTCTATGTCCATTATACTTACTACTATTACACAGATCTCCCTCACAACAGTGCAAATATTGTTCATCAAGTTGTCTGCATTGATCAGCAGATATACAGCCTTGAATGGTTACTTCTTGGCTTTTTACTGCTTTGTTGTCATACTTGAAACAAAGGTTTTCTGGAAATACCCAGTTGACTGTAATGGGATCAGATGAAGTTTTGCTTGGGTACTGATAACAAAAAGTACCTAGAGATAAATGCAAAATGAAAGAAGGTTTCAAAACCATTGAGTATCTGACAAAGGTCCCTCGGCTCAAAGTCTGGAGAAAAACCATGAAAATATAGCTAATTTAGCCAAGCCTGAAAGCGGAGCTCTTACTATATTCTAGACCACTCTCAGGAATCTGATAGACTTTTACCCTTGGAACCAAAGCGTGATCAGTAAGAGATGTCATGTATGATTATGGGTAGCGTGGCTGAGCGATAATTTAAAGCGCTGGAACTGCTATCCGAAGGTCCCGAGCTCAATTCCCGCTCTAGCCGCTAGCGGGAGTTTTTTCTTCGTAGTTCCAAGTTCATCTCCTTGGCACCGCTTCTAGGCTGGGTTATCGGTAATTGTGCTACCAGTTATAAAAGTCATTTGTGTATTCTCAAAAACCATTTCATCGCCAGGTAGACAAACTTGTGCCAGTATGGAGTTCTTTGTTGGGAATGTTGGTAATACATCTCTGTTATTGTTACACTTAATCCGGTTTTACCACTGCATTGCTTTGGCACAAATGGGTTCCTCTCAATCACACAATTATCTTTAAATAGAAGGAGATAATAGACAACTTACTTGTTAATGCTGGCCTTTCACATATATAGTTGTTTTGGTCGTTACAGTTTCCCTTTTCTATCGCTCCAGTGTCTGTCTTCATTTGCCTACATTTTGAATCATTGGTTTGGCCAATCCATACGTACTTTAGAAAGGTATTAAAAAGAGTACAGAAAAAATTAACAGATTAATCAGTTCAAAGGATGTAGTTTACCCTTAAGCCACAATTAAGGTGGCTGAACATGCAGTTTGATCATTGGAATACTTGGCAAGGACAAAAGATTTGTAAAGCATAAAGCCTGGTTTTCACTACCGCATAAGCATAAGCAAAAGCATAATTACAAGCATAAGTACAAATTACGCACCCGCAAAATGGCATATTTGACTCAGTTCTCGATACTAGCTTTCTTCAACCCGATGATAAACAAGATGGCAGACGAAGACGATGTCTTATGCTTATGCTTGTGGTTATGTCGACCCCGTACTCACTAGTCAAAGCTATGACATAAGCATAAGCACAAGAAGAACGAACACGTCCGTTCTTCTCGTGCTTATGCTTATGCTTATGTCGCCGGTGTTTTCACTTGCTTACACATGTACTTGTGCTTATGCTTATGTTAGTAAAAAGCAGGCTAAAGTTTCTCTCGTTAACGCAAGAGATTCGATCGTTGCCATGCCAACACGGATGTTTATAAACAAGCCTAAAGTTTTATTTTAGTAGGTTTCCGCAAAATCCAGTCATCAGATTTCCTTATGACTTTTTATGCAGCTTACGATAAGTAATCCTCAGTTTTTTCTTTGATTATTGTGGCGGCCAAATAAGTATGCTGTATTTAAGGTATTGATGCATAGATACAAACCATGTCCTGAATGAAGAAAGATCACGTGACCTATTTTTGGCAATTACTCTTTAACGGTAAAATGTAGTTGGCCATTCAGGACAGATTCTTTTAAAGGGGATAACCATTGAAATTTGTTGGTTTCTCAACTTGTAACGGTTTAGTTATATGTCATCTCGGCGGCCGATTTTCACTGTTTTCTTTGCGTAAGAAAAGTGTTATAAAAGGTCACGTGACGCAAAAAATTCAAACTTAAAGTGACCAATAAGTTAAGGAAACTAAGTTTTATGTTACTGCCAAGTCTGATGATGTTGAGGTACATCTTTATGCAAATTAGGCTGTGAGTAAAGAAGATGTAATTTCGCCTCATCCACTTTGAAATCTATTATTATTATGAATTTCCCAAGCCTTTAGCCTGCTCTATGACTCGGTACTTACATTTATCTTTGTTTTCTTCAGACCAATATTTTCCATGAACTGAATCAAAAATCGGTGCTTCTCATCTCTAGCATTATTTATCTTTACCAAATCGCCTCCAGAAGCAGTACACTCCTTTCGTGCACCTTCCCAGGTATCTTTATTATTTTCTTTGTAGCAAGATACTCCATTAAGAAACCACCCAGTAGAACAAGCCAATGGACCTAATTTGTCAAATATTAACAGAGCAAACAGATTGAGCCCAATAATAATAATAATCGTTTTTAGGGGGATGTAAAATTTTTAGAAAATTATATTCCAAAAACGCTCTGATAGATTTTTTCAATCTTTTTAAGGCTAAGACAACGGTCTAAACTATTAGCACACTTGAGGATTCACAGATTATTGCTAGATTTAGAGAAAATGACTAATTAATAGATTTCATGTGATCGTTATTCTGTTGCTAGGGAAGTGGCGATGTCAACAAAACATACCCCAAAATTAAATTCAATGTTCGATATCTTGTTTCAATTTGTGGCTTTTCCATACATGCACTACAGCCAAAGTTATGGAACATCAAACTCGAAGGGCCAAAAAATGGGTGCGAGCCTCCTTCACATGATAATGAGACAGCTCTAAAGCTGATCATTTTAGAGTATTTGGAAAGCGCCCCAAGTGATCAAATTTTACCTGTGCTTCTCTTATACCTGGTACGATTGGAGCCTCCCCAACATTTTTAATGCCAAGTTCCCAGCAGGAGCAACTCACCTTTGGGTCTCTCACAGATGAAATATTCGTTTTCCTTGCAACATTTCGAGAGTTTCCAGCCATTTTTCAAGATTTCGACGCATTTATTTTCATAAAAACGTCTTGACATGTTGCCGATCCACTCGACGGAAACAGAACTGTTAAACAATTCTCCATTGTTCCATACGTATCCGCCCGTTTGATGCCGAAACGCCAACCCAATCCACACAGAAGTGCGGTCTGTGTCCTTGAAAGACAAGTTATGAACAAACTTCTTTTCTTTTTCATTGGATATGCTTACCAGGTCTCCACCAAACCCAATACACCCTCTTAAAGCTGTTGACCAGGCAAATCTCCGCGGATAACCTAACCTATCCATAACCTTGTAGCAAAAGCCTTCGAATTCGGTCCACTTTTCAGGGCATTCTAAAGCTAAAAAGGATAAAATTGAGGCATCTGTGACTCTTGTATGTGACTTAAACAATAATGAAAAATTACTGGATGAGGCTGAGTATGATCTTAAGAATTCAAAAGTACGTTGACTTGGATCGTCTGGGCGAACGTAGTCCAATACGACTACTGTTGTTGTTGACATGACTGTCAACAACAACAGTCCTATTCAGGACTACGTTCACCCGCACGATCAAACTCAATCTACTTTTTTTCAAATCTTTCACGATCTTAAGAATTATCACTAATACCAAATCCAATAATCGTTCTATTTTTCCTTCAAAATAATCCCTTTAAGCATTTAAAAAAGCTTTTAAAACAAACTGAAAATGCTTAACTCGATGAATGTACAAGTTAGGTGCTTGTCTTCATTTGCCCGTTTCGCGACAAGTTCGGGGTACAGAAGAATGTTGCAGTAGTCTGGCAGATATTCTTTCAATAGCAGATGTCATCCGTTTAGTTGTATTCTTGCATTTCTTGCTATGTTTTTAGGTAGTAGTTCGGCTATTTCTTCTTCGCGAAATGTGTGAAATGTCCCTCCATTTCATACAGTTTTATTATTTGTAAGCTCTACAAAAACAACGCAAACTCTTCCTAGGGCTCCTCGGTTGCAGTTTCTATTCTGGCGATTACTATGTATTATTGAAGTCACTTTTTCGGATATCGCAAACATCTTCCACATCTGGTCAACGCTAGCTGGTTATGAAGTAATAACTGTGGGATTTAGGCCAATCACAAACGTAGAAATAACTTCGATGTATAATAAATAAATGAACAATAAGTATTGGATGAGGTTATTGTGATATCCGGAATCAAGGTCTTGGTAAGTCTCATCACTTACACTTGTACTGCTGTACTGTTTCACTGACTCATGATCATTAGGTTAGCGTCTTTTTCCTTTTAATTTAGTTTCTTTCTTTTTTCTTTCCTTTCTTTTATTATTTTAGTTTTTTACTTTCAGCCAGCTGTGAAAATAGAAAATAGCGTAAATAGTTACAAATATTATTTGTAATTATTTTTGTTTAAAGCAAATAAAATTATTCTAAAAAAAACAACAACAACAACTTACACTTACCAAGACTGAGATAATTCCGGATATCACAAAAACCGAAACTAGTGCATATTTTGTTAGCATATTCACAGTCAGTGATCTTGGTGTTTTGAGCAAAGTAATTAGTTGATATCTAAAGCTGTTTAACAATTATTGAATGAGGCTTGGTATATATTCTTCACATAATACGAAAGCTTAAAAAATGCTCTCATCGCCCATTGCTTTTGATGAGCAAACAGCGCCTGAGAAGCTACTCAGTTATTCTATAATTTTAAAAATGGAAATGACTAAAATAACAAATAAACATACATACCAGAATAACTCCTTATTACTGCCACTAGGAGTGACATGAACAGTCCGGTTGTGATCATAATAGCATCAGATGTATGATCTGAGGAGACATTCAATTATAGCGAAACATTTCTCGATCAATGATTAGTCGAAGAAGGAAACTAGAAAAGAATTGTCGTTATCGGAGTACTGTAAAGAAGTCGTATTTTTTTATCTTTTCATATCAAGCAATTGTAGGGAGAGGAGACTCAGGAAATATACTCTTACCTGGAGTAACGACGCTTTCTTCCTTCCCAATATTAGAGCAGACAAATATTGTACTTGTCACTCTTCTTTCATTCGAAAGAGATTTGATGAAGAATACGATTCTACGTCCCCTTAGCTATTGAGACTCTATGATAGGTACGGTAAAATTTTGTCTCAGAAAAGGAAGATAAAAAAAAAAAAGAATTCATGCAGGTGCTTTTTATTATGCGATTGTCAACTAATGGATTTTGGACAGTTTTACGAGGTAAAATTTGTCCCTTTTCGTAATTGAGGACATAACGTTTCAGCAATCAACTTGTTCATTTAACATAAGCAAGAGCCCTAAGATTATGATCTCTTGACGTAAGTTAATATTTGTTTCCTTTAAATATTCAGCGTACACAGATATTACTCTTCTCATATATCTATTCCCAAAATATCTATTCATTTACATGCTTTACCCATTAGTAAGTGGAAAATTGTAGGTTAATACTTCATATTGAAGACGATGTGAACAGCTGTGGAGAAGCTGGAAGTACCCATGTCACAAGCTTTTCAGGTTTCATGGGGATATGCCACTTATTTTTTAGTAGTGATTTTAAGCAAAGAGGTGTCACTTAAAAATTGCAAATTCAGCTACCAGTAACCTTTGGAATTGCAGCTGCAGATGAATGTCACTAAATGAAGAAGTCTATATGATTCAGTGAACTGTGGGGACGAGTTAAATCAAGGAGAAGGGTTTGACAAAGCCACATTTGTTTTTATTAATACCGAAGTATCAGCGCAGTATCGTAAATACCTTAAGTAGCTGTTTTAATAAATATAAAAGGTGACATACAAGAATGATCTGGGTATTAATTAAACAATAAAGTAAATATTTTTATTCCTCTAACGAGCTGAACACAACACAGCATTTTTAAAACTTAAACTATTGTAGCTCTTACGGGTGCACAAAAAGGCTGATGATCGAGTCTCTTACTCTTTGTAATTAACTGAATTGTTCTTTTAGCAGAACACGTATCAGGATGCTGAGATATCACACAGTTGCTCTCCAAAGTGCAGTTCACCAAAATGAATTCAAAATGTTCGATCGCCTCCCAATTACTTGGCCTAGATCTACACTCTAACAGTATGAGTAGCTGACTATTTTTGTCGTTTCAATCGTAAATTATCCGAATTGAGTGTTCTCAATTTTCCCCGTAGCATTTCTAAACGCATTTTTTCTCGAACCTCGCCCTGAAAGACCAATGTCACCTATTACGGGCTCTGGGAACGAGAAGCCTGTTTATGACGTATTTACGTCTCCACCCTTCCAAAACGTTTCCAAACTACAAAAATTTCTGCTAAATGTTCTTGTTCAGGCTTCTCGGGGGTTGAGTTTAGGTTGCGTTCTCCTGAAGTTGAGCGCAAGTACTCAGAGGCTGGGGTGCTCTGATAGGATTTTGAAACCTATGGCAATTTGGTATATATACAACTTACTCGATGGTTTAGCATATGATATGTGTGGGTATTTTGCGAGTTGCGTAGTATTTTTTCCGAGCCCCCCAGGGGAGAGGAAAAATACGAGCAATGAGCAAAATGTCCGCTCGTATTAATGTATGCTAAACCATCGAATAAGAAGTTTATCATTCCACCACAAAAAAAATAGTTATTTTGCAGTTGGCTTCTATTTTTTTGGCAAGAGTATTCAGAAACATTTTGATTCCGTCTGTGAGAATAACGTTAACAATGAGCACAATGTTCGCGCGTATCACATGCCAAACCATTGAATGAGAGGTTGATTATCTTACTGCAAAAGAAAAATGTTATCTTGGCTTCTGTTTTCTTGTAAGGGTATCCAAAACATCTGATTCTGTCAGCCATAGTTGCTCCTTTTGCATCCACCGGTATTCGCCCTATTGTAAACCCGTTAAACCAGGACACTAAAGTGTATTACGGCCTCGTATTTTGCACGTTCTCTTGACCTTATATGGTAAAATGACATAATAGTGGAATAAAAAATTATCATCTCTTCCAGGGAGTGCAGCCCATGAATTGATTTGTTGTGTTATCTTAAATGCAAACAAGGGATCATTAAACGTTAAAGGGACACAGTCAGCTATGGGACCGCCTGACCTGGAAACTACTTTTGCCAGTTTGAAAAGCGTTTACATCAATCCAAAATCAAATCTCGTGATATAGATATACTGCATAGTTTCATTAAAATCTAAAATTAAAAATTATATTTTACTGCATAATCACTTTTATAAAAAGTTTGTATTCTTAAAACATACACAGTAGCAAATATGTAATCTAGATACTATAAATTAAAGTATTTTAATATTGTAGAGTGATGTTACTTAACCCGTGAAATAGATAGTAGACTACTACGTAGTATGATACTCTAATCTCATTGTTTTCTTTTGTTTACTTGTAACTACTTGTCACTAATTGCTAGATACTGTTTCACGAGTTAAGTAAAATCACTCTAAGTAAAATTATTGTTAGAAAACTAGTGTGTCTAGTGTAAGTACTACAGAGAATTTAGATTACTGTAATGGAAATTATATACCGATAATTGACATTGTATTGTAAACCTAGTAGTGTATTATTTTGTACTCTTCGATTTTGCTGTTGTTTTTTTTTTTTCAGTGATTGTAACGAAATATTCTCTTATGCTGTAAATAAAGCATTGTCATTGTTCCCCCGTCTCACTAGAAGCTATGTATTTTCACAATTAATTAAAGAGAAATTTAGTAACTAGGAATTTTATAAGTCATATTATATATACCGTATGTCACATCTGATTGTAAATGTGTGTACATATGTAGTCAGAGTAACATTTTAAAGCAAAAACTGCTGCTAAGATAGTACATTTCATTATCATAAAGAATATCTCTCAGTACGCGCACTTTCATTGGTCAATTTAGCGGGCCATATTTCATTGCTTCAAAAGTTTGTTTTGGTCGCAATTGTCGGGACAGAAATACAATGTAAAACTGTTTGTTTCATGTAGTTAAGTGTCAAAGAAATATTTTTTTTGGAAGCCAATAAAATTCATGTTTAGTATTTGACGCACGTCGATCGACAGCGGCCAATCTGCTCAAATTGAAATCTTTGATCCTGTGTTTGACATTTTACCTAGGTCTATGAATTACCGTTTCTGCCCAATGTTGAGCTGCAAGGAACAAAGGCCAAAAGACAATTTTAACCTCTTTTTGATTTACTGTAACTAGTGATGATGTTAGGTCCTTGTAGCATTAAACAAATAATCATCAACTCACAACTGTAACAAAATTATCAAAACGGGATCCATAAGCAGTAACAGGATATTCTAGGTAACATGTCAAAGACAGAGTGAT